CCCTCATTGGATGTATAAAAATATATTTGGTTAGAAGCTCAAATACTAGCTATTTATTTAAAAACAATTGAAATTGTTAAAGTGATTGAAGATCACTTTAACAGGAGTTTGATAACTTGATCTTGGTTTAATTCCAGGACTAAGTTATGTTGTAAAAGTTAAACTAAAGAAAAATTTTGATAAGAAATATTGCTACTACTATCGGTTTACAGCGTTCTCCGACGCCTTCCGACTCCTAACCGCCATTCTTCTCTATATAACAGGGTTGTCCAACTGACGGCCCGCGGGCCGCATCCGGCCCGCGAGGCTATTTGTTGTGATCCATGTAAGATTTTCGAAAAGCATATATTTTCTTTAAATGCTGCCACTGTGAAAAAAGATTTTTTAATTTTTTTATATTTTATGGTTTAGCAGTGTTTTTACATCACAGGTACTGTACCGCGTGCCGCTTTGCGGACGTGTAACTGCATTACAGATTACTACGCATCACAGTTCACGCAGGCCACACTTCCCACTGCTTACCATCCGTCGTCAGCCGCCATCATGCCAGTGTGTTACTGACACGTAGGCTAGTCGGCTAATCTATTACGTTGCTAGTGAACAGTGAACTTGATTAATTCTTTGTCTTGATTCCTCTTATACAATAATGAGTGTAAAACTAGTAAAATGGAAAATTGATAGTGGGAACAGAATTTACAAAGAAAGTTGGGAGAGTGATTACTTGATTGCTAACAATAATGGAAAGTTGCAGTGCTTAGTGTGCATGAATGTCGTTTCAGTGCCTAAAAAATATAATGTGAGAAAGACATTACACAACAGTGCATAAAAATAAGTATGCTACGTACACAAATGAAAGTTGGCGTGCCCTAGTTCCAGATTTTAAGAAAAAGCTTAAACAGCAAACTAGTATGTTCAGTAAAATATTACACTCTCAAACGCATTCTTTGCATGCATCTTACGCCGTGTCGCTTGAGCTAGCAAAGGCAAAAAAACCTTTCACTGATGGCAATTTGATAAAAAAATGTGCTGTTGAAATGGCCAAAGCTTTCGATGATTCTAAAATGGCGGAGAAATTTGAATCAGTGCCACTTTCACATCAAACCATACAAAGAAGGATTGTTGCTATGGGTGAGCAAGTAGAAAAATCTATGCTTAGCCTGGTTAAGAAAAGTTCATATTTCTCACTTTGTTTGGATGAAAGCACTGATCAAACCGATGTTAGTCAGCTATTAATATTTGTGCGCACTACTTTTGATGATTTTACCAGTAAAGAGGAGTTATTTGATATTTGTCCTCTTTATGGAACAACAAAAGGAAAAGACATCTATAAGGCTGTGAAGAAAACAGTTGACAGAATTGGAGGCTTTGATAAATCTTCAGCCATAGCAACAGACGGGGCCCCATCAATGACAGGTAAAAAAATTGGATTAGTAGATCTGCTTCGAGAGAATGGTCTCACTTGCTCAACAATTCATTGTATTATACATCAGGGAGCTTTATGTGGAAAATCAGTCAAGGAAGATCAAGTTTTCCAAACCGTAATTAAGATTATAAATGTGATTAGAGGTGGAAATCGATCTCTTTTACACAGGCAACTTAAGCAGTTTTTAGTGAAAACAGAGAGAAAATCCCTGCATTCCTCAACAAATACGTTTCATCTGACACAACTGAACTGGAAGAGAAGTTTAAGAATCCAGAATGCTTAAGACAGTTAGCTTTTATAACAGATCTGACTAATCATCTTAACATGTTAAACTAGAGTCTTCAAGGAAGAAACCAGACGGTTTCAGATTTGATCGGAATGATAAACGGATTCCGAAATAAGCTGAACGTGTTTAAACGTGCTTTGGAATAGAACAACCTGACACACTTCCCTAGCTGTCTGCAAATAGCAGAACAATTCAACGGTGAGGAAAATATTGAGTTTTCATCCTGCATTTCACAAATTGAACAAGTTATTGATGAATTCAATACAAGATTGACGAAATTAAAAGTCTCAAAAGCGGTGTATACTTTATAATAACCCTCTTGGAGCAACCATTGATGATCAACCACCCAACTTACAGCTTGAGTTATGTGATCTTCAAGCAGACATGTTCCTTATCACCAGACAAGAAAAGGGACCTGAATTTTTCAAATTACTGTCAACGGGAGAAATTCCCAAACCTGCGAGATTTTGGACTGAAAATGACGTAAGACTGGAATAATTGTGTCGAGGATGTCATAGACTACATTTGCAGCTAGGACTGGTGAAACTTTTGCACTTATTGGTGTTCCAAAGGTAGATTTATATATATATATATATATATATATATATATATATATATATAAAATTATCGAAAGAAGGTCTCTAGTTCTATTTTGCAATGAGTTGATATTACTTTCCATCTTTGTTATATAAATCTTAAACATGCTTTTAAGGAGACGTTACTAAACAACGACACAACATCAAGACTAGCAAGAATATAGTTAGGTGAAAGGGTGACATTTTTCATTAGTTTTTTGACTTTAAAAGAGTCTTTGATGTAATATTCATTGTTTAAGTCATATAAGTTTTTTTAAAATGTCTGTTACTAAAGTGGCTATTTTCTCTGTAGGCGCTCCTAAGGACGACACTATAGGTCTTACTACTACTTAGTTGAGGTTTATGAGTCTTTGGAAAGGAATAGTATTTAGGTGTTACGCTGTTATATGTTGTAAGTTTCTTTTTTGTGGCATTGTCTATCATGCCTTTTGTGTTTAATGACTTTATTAGTTTGTTACTTTTTGCCTGAACAAAATAAGTAGGTT